TCCTTGGATTTATTCACTTCAACCCACTTGCCATTCTCATCCTTCTTCCACTCATCCTTCTTCCACTTACCCTTCCAATTGCCTTTCCATCCACCACCACCACGACGATCACCATTGTCCCACTTGGACCAGTTTCGTCCCCTCTTCCAGCCAGCCTCCTCATCATCACCATGCCACTTGTCGTCAGCCACATCGTCATCCCCAGTAGCAGCAGCCGAGTTGTCCAAGGGTATGGCCGGTAGGATATCCGAGGCATCGGCTTTATCATCAATGGCCGTCGTCGCCTCTGCCGCCTCATCGAGGACCTCCTTCGATAAGTCATGATCTGGTAGTGAGCCTTCCTGTAGCTCTCCATCACGAACCGAGCCTTCCGGTTCGGCGACAGCGTTGCCAGGAGATGGAGTCTCAATATGTGTGCTCAGATCACCAGCGCTACAGCTGGCATCTTCCTCTTTTGGACTGAATAAGTAATGACGATAGCCCAGACACTTCAGACGGTGAGTAGACTTACGTCTCGTCCAACTGCCTCTTGTCTACCTCGGAACCGTTAATCGAGGGAGTAACAAGGTTTGGCCCCCCGACTGGTGATTGATGATGATGATAAGCCTTAGCCTGACAGAGGCCAAAGTAGGGATCGAAACCTGACACTGTACCAGGTCTGTTACCCCGCTCACCTCGCTAGACTCCGTGGTACGAACATTTTCGGTCGCAGCCACCTCAGATACGACAGCCTCAGACATGGACGAAAGGAAACGTAACGCAGCTGCTGAAGTTGGCATAACTCAAGATGAGTTGCGTAGTGGTCAACAGCGCTCGCCACAATAATCGATATACGTGGCGTTAAATGCAGGCCGTACTCAACTACCTCGGCGATGTCCGACCTGTCCCGAGACATTACAGTGGGCGCTGAAGATGGTAAAGCTCTCCAGACGAATGCTCAGAATGTCTCCAATGGATCTAGTGGGCCCTCCTTAGAACCTATATGGCATCCCATACAGCGCACTACCGCTTTACCAGCTCGTGCTCGGGCGTCGTCTTCTGTCGGTAGTAGGCCATCCGAGGACGTCGACTCCTTGGTCTACTCCAGTATTAGTCCTACTACTTCTAGACAGAGGAATGATGCTTATAATGATGGCAGTAGTAGCATCATGAGTCGGATATCAGGAGAATCCCTTATAGTCCTTCCTCCAGCTTCACCATCATCATGCCCCTCTACTGCAAGCCCACTTAATGCTGCTATCACCACACCCTCAGGACACAGTATAGATCATCATTATGATGATGCAACAGCAGAGTTCAAATGCAGATCGACAGCGATTTGTTCTACTCCAAAGTGTGCTACTAAGTGTAACTGTATCGTCATGTAGTAGAAGCGATTCAATGCTATTTTTCTCGATGCGCTAACTAATTGCATGCCCTTTTTATTTTTCTAGTATATGAGAGATACTAACTCTCACAATACCTCATGGTTGCGTCATGGCATCATTACGTGTCTATTATCAGTTTGTCTCTTAATTCGGCTGCTCACCCTTTGATCAGACTATGACCGTCGACGGCCCGAGCAAAATTGATGTGTCCGAGAAGGGACACGTGTTGCGCGGCATCCCTCTGAGGAGACAAGTCAGATGGTGTGAGGTTA